CCTTACAAACGGGGTCCCCAACACACTTTGAAGTTGGCCTCCAAAGAAAATCTAACCATAAACAGAGGTCCTTGTTGCATACATTTGCAAATTCACGTGGAAACCAAAATACAGTTGATGTGTGGTCCCTAACTTATTATCCAAGTTCCTAGTTATGGAACACATATAGCAAAGCACAAACAGAGAGCAGGCTCATGTAGAGGCAACCCTTTCCTCCTCCTAAAGAACCTGACATGAATAATGTGCTTGCTGTGGATATTATAAGTGTGCAGGACCTCTTAAAATTTATGGGGGGGGCTCTTTGGCCTTTTTGCCTAAGGAGATGGACACCTTGTCTTGACACTGATCTCTATAATATCAGGCAGCAGGTCGGTAGTTAGGATCCTATGTGACTAAAGGTCTGTTGTTAAGTGACCCTGTCAGGGGGTCAGCAGAGTTACAAAGGCACTAACTTGAGAAGAAAAGGGCATTATGCATGTCTATTCATCTGCCGATTCTTCACTTTGTAGCAAAACTACCAGTGCTGATATTATTCCACACTTATAGGTGTGTGGAGTAGCGAGTCCCCAATTGGCCGCTACGGTTACTCCCACTGACCCTGAAGTCATTATCAGCTCTTTCGTTGATTAGTAGTCAGCAGGAGGAACCACAGTGGCTAACAAGGGGACTCACCATCCAACCTGAGGAGTCAAGAGACTGGCATTGGGAGCCGTGCTACAAAGTGAAGTTTAAGAAAACGAGCTGATGGACAGGTACAGTATGTATAAAACTGCTTTGATCGTACAGGACACTGGCTAACTCAAAAATGACTGGGTAATATACAGGTATCACCAGGTGATTGGACACTTGCCAGAGCTGTGAGACCCTCATATAACGCCTCCTACTCCCAGAATTCCTCCGTTTTTTTACAGTGTCCTTAGGTGATTGATGTCTCCTCTCTCCCTTTTTCTCATGTCATGTGTCAGTCGAGTTCCTGCTGTTTCCAGCCATGGCAGCGACTACGGGACAGGGATCTCGGGTGTTGGGGGGAAGCTGTGGAGGAGAACGGCGAACATCCGATCACCGATCTCCTCCCCGAACTATGGTATCGGAGCAATGCAGGTTACATAGCTGTCAGTGCTGGGCTCCTGAAGCCCAGCTATAAGCTATTGTAAACAAAATTGTGAATCACCACACGAACAATAACACCACACCCCTAATATACATACCGCAAAAAAAAAAAAAGATGGGGCTTTAAAGGTGTCATCTGCATATGCAAAGGGACTTAGTTCAACATAATGCCACAAGAGTCACATATTATGTGAAAATGATTCGTTAATTAATATAAAATACACGATTGACATATCAATAAATAAGTTGCAGACCGACATATGTCCAATGATTGCAAAATGATGGCACAAGACCTCCCTGGAACACGTATAGATATATACTATAAATAAATAACTATAACTTTTTACATCATTTGTCTCCTTATATATTTGTATATCATTCATAAATAGTCATGTTCATCCAAAATTGATGTATAGTTCTATACTGTGTCCAGAATTCTATTCATTTCGCCCATGGCTTCATCGGGAACTGAGGAGGTGCCTATAATAATCACATGAATCTGATACTAAAGCCACCAATATTTATACATATCAAAAATTCATGAAGTGTCAAGGTAATCAGTGCTAATTAAGGGAGCAAATACTTAGACTTTTATACCCGCTGTAGAACCCTTTTCTTGGAGTCCAGTGAGTGACACCAGAAGTCTTTCACCTTCAAGTAAAATAAACTGTAGGCAAGCCCAAGATAACACCTCCTGTTACCAAAATGCCTTGCTTTTTGTAGCAAGCACTAACAAGAGCATAATCATACATACAAGGGTGTGGGATCTGTGTAGGAGAGTAAAAAAATCATATTTTCTTTCTCGTCTATTGAGGATTTAAAAAAAATCATTAACTCTCAGGATGTTCAAAGGCAGGCCAATTGCGGGGTGGGCAACACAGCAAGCAAATGCTCACAGGCACAAGAGAAAACAGAGAACTGGGGACTACCTTCAGCTCAGAGACGCTTGAAGGACCTTACACCTGCATCAGATAAGGTCAAAACCTCCACCTGGTGGAACTTGGAGAGTGGGCCCACCACTATAAATAATAATGCTTAAAGTTTGCATTTCTTCTCAACAGGTAGTGAACTTGAGAACAATATCTAACCCAACAAAACTGAGGAGCATTGCACAGAAAATCCTACTGCAGATCAACTGCAAGCTAGGGGGAGAACTGTGGGGGGTGGATATTCCACTGGTGAGTGACGTACGATCTCTATCATGTTGTCAGTGTTTATCCATGAAGTCAGAGAAAGCCGGGTTCTGGTAATAAAGTAAAACTAAATCAGAGAGTGACGTATAAGAAGCTGTTCCAGCTAGTAAACATATCAGATATCATGCAGACTATCACTAGCATTACCACAGCAGTGTTTCCTTTTCTCTGTACTGTACTTGGTACTTGATACAGAAAAATGGTATCGGTTCATCCCTACTTAGAAGTGTTTTATATATTTTTCCATGTCCTAACACAGTGCAGCCTTCTCTGTGAGACAACAAACATTATATTACAAGTAAATCACAGTGCAAACGCTGAATAGCAATGGGAAAGGGCCCTGTTTGGAAAAACTTTGTATATAACATGGTACTATCCAATTTGGCTGTGAAGACAAGCGCAGGTAGTTTGCAATTCTATTTTTCCATACAGCAGAAGAGATGTCTGTGAAATGATGATGCTAGGCACCAGGGGCTGCTGAATTTATTAATACTTGTTTTATGTCTTCATACAAATCATCTCTATGAATTATTCTTCAAATAGAAAAATCTAATGGTTGTTGGGATGGACGTCTACCATGATGCCAGCCAAGGTCGGCGCTCGGTGACAGGCTTTGTGGCAAGCACAAATCAGTGAGTTGTTTTTTTTAGCAATCAGTGAAATGTTTTTTCCAACATAACTATTTAGAATACAGTGAAATGTCTGTCTAAATAAAAACCCTAACATCATTTTTTTTTCTTCTTTTTGATTGCTTTATTTTGCACAGTGTGGGGAAGGTTTAGATTTAGTTATGTTTCATTGCTGTCTGTATGTGAATTTTCACTCCTCTTCCTGTTCAGGTTCCCACCAGGCTATTGGTGTGAGCTGAACTCCTGTTTCTACTCTCATTCGCGTTGTATTCTTTTGTAAAATCCACTATGGGGGCCGGTTTCTAGAAGGTTCGTCATAGAAAAATGTTTAAAAAAAATACAAACCAGAGAGGGGATACAGGGTGTTTAGTGCACAGCAATGCCCGTGGTATCGCAGGAAGAGGAAATGAGAAGAAATTATATAGACAGGGATTCAGGTATTATATCTGTCAGAATGTTTATACTGCTCTGATATACAGTCTTATGTTTATGGAAACAAATAAGAATCTATAATTAAGGAGATTCCCAACGTATTTCCATAAATCAAAATTTACACAAGTTCATTCATTTACGCTGACTTTGAAGACAAGAGAAATACACAAGTATACAACATATATATATTTATTAATTAAAAATCAGTGCAGAATAATAATAATATAATCGGTGACAAACAAAGAATATGGAGCAGATGATAACAATTAATTTGATATCACAGGTAATGCATAAAATGTAACCACAGGATATTGTTCAACATATAAACGTAACCAAAATAAAAATGACTTTTTCAATGTAATGGGTATCTTCTTAGTATCTCACAGAATAAGAAAACAAAAGGTTCAGAATTGACAAGTGACTTCTCCCAGCACAGATATACACAACTCAAACTTTTAACAGCGCATGTGCAATATTTATCGCATCATGCACAGGACTGGCAATAAGCCAAGACCATTCAAAGTAGATACAAATTTCCACCAGTTTAATTCAATATATATCAGACTAGACCATTGACTAGAAACGGAAATTAGTTTCCTGGAGATTACACAAATGTATATAATTATCTCCCAAGATTGAAAGACACAATTATGGTCTTCCACGTGATGATTGACTTGAACCATGACGTCAGATATATCATTTTTGCCATATACCTTTCCTTCACAATCACCACCAGGGGGCACTATTGTTCTATATAAAAGTTGGGAGCAATTAATTTAATTCTACTATTTTCTCAAGATAAGGCAGTGAGATAGCCTCTGACCTAAGCTATGGACAACCCATAAAGAAAGTCATGAATAACATCTCATGACAACCTCTTGTCCGACTTCTAGTCTACTTCTTCGATTTACAACCTTGAGAAAGTCTAACCTAAAGCAATTAGCAATCCTCCTCTAAATACTTTGAAAGTGAGGTAATAAAAATAAAAGAAAATGCATTGGCATGTACCACCTAGTTCTTTGCACTTAAAATATAAAAACCCCATATTTAGTAATACACAATAATGTATTTCAATGGGTACACTCAAACAATATATAATGAATATAGTTTGGATATATAAAAGCACATGCATAAAATTGTACTTAAAATCAGTTAATAACCTAAGCATACAGATGCTGCATGTAATATAATAACATTATTGCTAATATCACCACAATGAATAGTAATGTTTCATAAGGAACTTTTAAATAAGCCCCTTTCTTCTATTCATTGAGCAAAGAAAAAAAAATCAATCAAGACCTACATAGGCTGGCACCATCCTTAACTGATGTGCGTCTGAGACCCCCACAATTTACGATTTGAGACTATTTATGTTAAAATTCCTAACTCCTTCTCTGTGAAAGTCTCTATTCAAGAAGAATGAACTCAGGTTCACCTTTTAGCAAAAAGACAAAATGGCTACCAGTATGCCCATTTACAAATCTGTAAAATAACATGTTTAGACCTATGAAATTGATTCCTTTCTGCCCAATAGTTCTGACATAACCTCACAAAGAATCTGATCCAGTTTAGTGTTACAGCTTTTGCCCTTTCTTTGCACACATAGAAAATGGTGGATGTATCACAGTTGACAAAATTCCTTAAAAGAGAACTATGGGGCAATCTTTTTATCCCATAGTTCTCTTAAGGGTCATGGGAGGACATATACTAACCTCCTCCTGTGACCCAAAGCCCAGTATATAGCGAGCTATTGCTCACTATATACTGAGATCGCTGCAGCCGGGACGGATCCCGACAATGCTGTCGAAATCCACCCAGCTGCATGAGTGCCAGCTGGCTCTGCTTATCTAGAGCCAGAGCCAGCTGTGCCCGCCCCCTCCCTGTCTGTTCCACCATTCAGTGCTGGAGGATCGGAGCAAGGAGGGGGGTAATCCCTGCAGGGAGCTGTGACTGACAGCCACCGCTCTCTGCAGAGAGATGATCGGAAAGTGAGCGAGCGACGTTATGTGCTCGCTCACTTCCCGATCTATTGAGCCGAAGTGTGTCAGTTTCATTGTGACAGGTCGGCTTGACCTATGAGGATGAGTGAAAATCACTCACCTCATGGTTCTCCTTTAACATATGTGCGTATGAGTAATGTTTTTGTAGAGATGTTAGGTGTTACTTAATGTTAAAGCCTTTACTTTTCACCCTTTATTTCTAGTTGCCTGACGCGCTGGTACTCCCGCGTAGTCTTCCAGCTTCCTCATCAGGAGATTGTAGATGGCTTAAAGCTGTGCCTGGTGGCTGCCCTGCAAAAGTACCATGAGGTGGGGAGACTTGCTTGTGAGTCTGTATGAATGTGTTATATTGACCACACATGGGAAGTATGTGTTGTACATTTAAAGGTGATTCATACTGCCAGCAACTAATTTAAGAAAGACACTGCTATGTCACAAAGTAATGTAGGTGTGACGGACCCCCGTACTCAGGATGAGTATGTCCGATGCTGTATTCTTCCTTGCTGAGGAGATCTTGCAACCTGAAGATCCTTAGCTCCCAGTTTCCCCAGTCACTGGTCGGGACACGAGTGTATAACATAAAACTTATCACCATGTCGTCACAGTAGGTACATAGGTAAGTACACCCCATGGACATTTTTGACTTATTTGAACAAGCAGGCATTAGATTTTTCATGCAAACAGTGCCTACAGATAAAAGTGATATATTTGAACGAATGACGCATACAATTGAAATGTTCTATTCATTCTCATAATCTACATTAACAAAAATGTGGAGTTTTCACTGGGGAAAAAAGTAAACCACTTAATATCCATTAAATTAGAACCAGATAGTCCAGATTAGGTGCCAGTTATTAGAACCTCCTCAGGAAGTATGCAGGTTCTAGCTGTCTTATTTAAACCTAGAGTCTGGTGTTCTCTTTGTTATTGACATGCTTGGTGTCATCATGCCAAGTTCAAATATGTTGAAAAAAGTAAATTTCCATGTACTTAAAGTTGCAGTTAACTATATAGTGGTTTTTGTTTTGTTTTTTTTGTTTTTATTATAGTCTGGGCTTAAAGGGTTTCTAAACCCTCAACTTTTTTTTGCATATATCCTTCCTAGAGGTTGCAGACAAAGTGTCTCCAGGCTGGGTTTATCACCAGAATGAAGGTGTCACCTCACCTGTGTGTGTATATCAATGTTCAAAATGCTTAAAAAAGGGTCACATCTCATAACCCTGTCCCATACATCATATGATCATAGAACCTTCAGGGTAAGAACGGTGGCACAAAGGTGAGCTGCCTGATGCCAAACATGAGGGTTTTATCATACATTATGGAGGAGTTCTGATAATTGGGTCTCTTTATGGTACTTCTGGTTCTGTTAGCTGTAGAGTGCCAGAGTTTGGACTCTGCATATAGCAGAACAATAGTTGGAACCATAACCATCCCTTTCAGATCCATAACTGAAAACAGTTGCGAGGGATCCAAGGTGGTCAATATAAAAATTGTACCCGGAGACCCAGGTGTTAATATTCAGTCCCCAGCCCCTTCCATCTGATTGGCTGATCTCGGGGTGGAAACTGGTTTTGATCTTCATAGTATAATAACAGAGATCTGAAACCAAAAAATGTCACATTCGAGGGGTCTATTAACATGCGAGTGTGTCCACGTCTTTCCATTGAACCATGGAAGCGGAATTAGGCCCCATTCACACTGCGCGATTCGCAAATCGCGCGTTTGTGGCGCGATTTGCATTTTGCGCGATATCGCACAAATGCTTGCATTGAGCAAGCGAGAATCGCGGCAAAATCCGCTCCAAAAAGTGTCCTGCTGTAGCGACACATGACCCGCGACAGCAGGACCCTTCGTCCCATTGAGATGCATTGAAGAGCCATATGGCGCGGTAAATAGCCGCTATATCGCGGGAATTATACGCGCGATAAATCAAATCGCTCAATGTGAACGGGGCCTTAAGCTCTAAGTTTTATCCCGTTTTTTTTTCATACTGTTTGCTTGTGTGTATGTATGCATGTCTCACTTTGTAACATCTACTTTTTGTAACTACCTTTATCTATACGCTGCCCGTCTAGGGATATTAAGTATTAAATTAATAAGCTGGTTCTTGATTGCTCTAAAAGAACACACGAACCTGAAGAGGTTGTTGTGTGTCTGTTGTATGTGTGTAGTCGATTGATTGCAGCATCGGTCTATGTGTGTGTCTGATATGGCTGTGTGTGGGCAGTGGAAGAAGTGGGTACACCAAGGTTCTAGCTGAGAGGATAGCTTGGGGAATTTTAGTGGGCATGAGGAGACCACTTAGGCTACCACACAACCATTGGAGTACATTAGATTGTATGTGAGATTTGCATCTGCCTGTGTGTATGTCCAGCCAGCTTGAGTTGGGTGAGTCTCCCTCCAGTGGTGGCCAGCAGTAAGGAAGGAGACTGTGAGTGGAGGTACGAACTCTAGAAGTAATTGTGCCAGGTTTAGCTAACCTGTGAGTGAGAGTGAGAGCAGTGTGTGTGGTCTGCAAAGCCTGTGTGCCGGTCTACTTGAGGACAGAGTGTACGGACTATGTCCGAGAAAAGGTTCCCCACAAGCCTGTAAATTGTGGGCGGTGGCAGCTTAGATTAGTTCATTTGCATGTGTTGGTTATACGGCCTTACCGTCACGCCTGCAGACTGGGAGGTACTCTAGGGCTTCTTGCAATGATCTGCCGGTGCGCTGGAAGATCTCGGAGGACATCGATAGCCTGCGCATCGTCCGGGCCCTTCCTGCGTCCCTGTACTCACTCCGCGCCCCGGCCCGTCGTCTGTGACAGCTGGGTTTCTTGAGTCTTTGCAAATGTGTTAACATTCTTCAATTTGCAGGTCTCTGAAGATGTGTGTGTGCTTATTAACATCAGAGTTTACATGGAATAAGCCTTTAATGTAATATTAATTTCTGGTTCAATTACTAAATAACACTCTGTGATTGTGTTGCTTTTTGAAGCTGAAGAATGGACAGCTGAACACAGTTCAGAATTATGAGATTCCCCAGCTACAGACTTGTTTCAGCACATTTGAAGATTATTCCCCTCGTATGGTTGTGATTGTGGTGCAGAAGAGGGTCAGCACTAACATGTACTGCTCCAGTTCTGGAGAATTTGTCACTCCTGCACCAGGCACCATCATGGACCACACAGTCACCAGTCGTGATTGGTGAGCGTCTCTACCTTATTTTACCTTTTCATCTATGTTTGTTAGATGCATGCTGTTCCATATCTATAGAATGTCACCTTACTGACATCTCTTGTCTCTCACAGGGTGGACTTCTACCTGCTCTCTCATCATGTCAGGCAGGGTTGTGGTGTTCCCACTCACTATATATGTCTGATGAATACTGCAAACCTCAGTCCTGACCATCTACAGAGGTAAGAGACTCATAAAAAGCCTATCCTCTACTAGCAGACCTTTTTTTTAAATAAATATATTAGACTCGATTCAAGGCAGGTGAGTTATTTTAACACATTTTCATTTTAAAAGCAGATTTAACTAGTTGCAAAATCTTTATTATTCCACATAAAATAAACATTTGTGTGTAGTATAATAGTATGCAGTATGTGTAATAAAAATATATGTGAGTATAATACATTATACTCTCATAGTTTTTTTATTTGTCCATTGAAGGACACAGGAATTATTTAACCTGTGGGTTATACTACTGCCTACAGGAGGACTGGACACTGCCAAACAAACAAAAAACTGTATGCAAGCCCAGGTTAATCCCTCTCGCAGCATGCCTCCTTTGTTTACTAGGGTGCATTGAGGATGGACGTCTTTTGGTCAGCTCTGCTGTTTACATGGTAGAGCGTATTTTTTGATGTCACTCTTCTCTTCAATTTTTAATTCAATCAAGATCTTTCCTACAGCGCTGCTGAAGCTTTGTCTTTTAGATTACACTGCTCTCCACTATGGTCATCATCAGCCTGGCTTTTGGAGTATTGTAATGGAGATGACCTTCAGGCTTTGAGTTCTGCGTGGTCTGCTTTCCAGACTCTGTTCTGGTAAATGTTAGCTGCAGAGCGCTTTCCAGGTCCAGACTAGCTGGTATTGCCTTCCCTGCCACCGAAGATTAACTTAGGCCTAGTACACACCTGGGCGTTCCTACGCGCTGTAAAACGCTCAACATGTGAAAACCAATAATTGCCTATGGGCATGGTTCCCACCTGAGCGTTTTACAGCGCTGAAAAACACTTCTTTGGGGGCGTATTTCTGCGCATTTCCATTGGTATTCCCAAGTGTGGATCGGGGTTAACAAAGCGGTAACCCCGAGTCACACTCGGGAATACAGCGTACAGGTCTTACCTTGTCCGCGATCCCCGATGTGTCCTCCGGCGACTTCTGGTTCCGTCCCTTGCGAGCGGCTGCGTCGCAGGGGGGCGGAGCCGGCGGGAACTTTGAAAGTGAAAAAAAAAATATTTAAAAATAAGGGGGGGGAAAATCATACCGCCAGTGAAACGCGTGTTTCACTGAACGAAAAAACGAGCTGAAAAAATACGCTCAGGTATGAACCCAGCCTTAGTGAGTAGGCCGATCAGTGTCAATTACTGAGGTCCCTGGTTGACTTTATTTCCCCTTTCTGTCAGTTTTGCCACAGAAGGGGTTAACTCTGTGACGCTAAGCGCTGAAGTCATTTGTTCTGGTTTTGTGTGTACCTGAGGCCTTGCCTCTTACCCGGAGCTTACATGTTGTACTACCACCACACGGCCGCAATATCTCTGATTTCTGGAGAAAAGGGGGACAGGCCTACTGTACCAGGTGCTCTCAGCTTACATTCTGCTAACCGCTCCAGTACTGTTTGCAGGACGAATGGGGATTGAGGACTGATGATGAGGATTTCTACAGCCAGGTATTTTTCATCCTCTGAGTCCTTTTTGTCTTTGTTGGGTGTAGCTGCACCCTCTTTGCTAAATTTTTACAAAAATTTCACAAAAAGAAATTTTCCCAGGGGGAGTTGAGCAGAGGCATCTGAAGTCAATAGAGGAGTTTTGGACTTGTGTGTCCAGAACTCCTCCTTTGACTTCAGGTGCCTCTGCTCACCAAAAATTATTTTTGGGAAATCTCTTGAATTATTCCGATGACAGCGGGAGCAGGCCAGCCCCAGATCACCCAGAGAAGATCCCTAAAGAGCATTGAGGATGACGACTTATGTTTGCAGTTTTATCTGGCATGAAAAATCCATGCGTCCTTCTAACTTACCTAAAGCCACTGTCACGTGATGCTGCAATCCAGATTTTTCTTCCCTCTTCTGTTTACATGAGGCAGGGTCCTCCCTTTAGGTGTCCACCTCACTGACTGTGTGACGTGGACACTTTCTGTGGGCTGTCCACTGGCGGGGTCTTCTCAGGATCAAGAAGTGACAGCAGTGCAAGCATATCCGCAGAGCTGGATTAGTGGTCCCCTGCACCTGGAAAAGGGGGAGGGACCTGGGTGGTGGACGTAGGTGAGCATACCTTACTTGGTCCTGTCCTCCAAGTTCAACAACAAACTAGACCGGACTGTCTTTTTAGATACAGGGATTCTCTGGTAGAATCAGTGGATGCCCTGGTTGTTTTGTGGGACCTGTACACCACTTTCTATGCCTTTCCTCCAATGAAACAATGTCCTCGTCTGTATTGCGGGATCAGGATTGAGGGCAATCCTGTTGTCCTCAAAACTTAATATTGGCCCAGATGGATGTAGTATGCTAAAGCTGGCAGACACTCCCTGATCTCTACCAGATTGTTGGGATCCTCTGTCCCAATGACCGATTTGATATCCTGCTTCATGGTTGCTCCATTTATCTGCATGGCAGTTGAATCCTAGGTTCTAAGGGACAGGGGCATCTCTGAGTCTGTGATTCCTACGATGATAAAAGCTAGGAAGTCTACATCTTGAAAGGTCTGACATTGGACATGGAATGCTTACTTCATTTGGTGTGAGTCTTGGGGCCTGCTAGCTCTGGTGTTCTTCTGGGCTGATCCCTCACTTTTCTCATGATCATCCTTACCCCATGAGGCGAAATCTTGCATGTAGCTCCAGACCGAGGGCGATTGATGGTTATTTTGTATTCCTTCCATTAGCGAATAATCGCTCCAACAGTTGTTTCCTTCTCGCCAAGCTTCTTGCTGATAAGTCTTGTAGCCCATTCCAGCCTTGTGCAGGTCTACAGTCTTGTCCCTAACGTCCTTTGACAGCTCTTTGGTCTGGCACATGGTGGTGAGGTTTGACTGGAAAGAGATTCTGTGGACAGGTGTCTTTTATATACATAACGAGTTGTCGTTAGGAGCACCTTCTTAAATTGACAGGACTAATCTGTGTACCACATGACCAGTCTGTGGGAGGAGCCAGAATTATTGTTGGTTGGTAGCGGATCAAATACTATTTTTACTCGCTGAACTGCAACTCAATTTATAACATTTGTAACATGTGTTTTGTCTGGATTTTTGGTTGATATTCTGTCTATCATTTAAAATACACCTGTGATCAAAATTATAGGCCTTTCATTTCTTTGTAAGTGGGCAAACGTACAAAATCTTCAGGGGATCAAATCATTATTTTCCTGAATTTATGTGTAGGGTTTCGTGTTAAAGTTTTAGACTGCAGAGCTTATTTGTAAGACATTCCTGATCCTGGGCACCTTGTTTATGCCGGGGATGGATCTGTCTTTCAGGCGCTCTGGCTATTCCTTCAGAGTTAGACCAGTGTGTTTTAAGGGCTGTCTGATTTCGATATAGTCAGACAATGCCACATCATTGTCGCACAACAATCACCAGGGAGGAACAAGGAGTCTTGCTGCAGGAAAAAAACGGTTGTATGAAAAAAAAATCTAAAAATTAAAGTGAACCTCCTGTTTCAATGTCATCTGTCGACCATTTCATTGGACTTCACTTTCTCACATTTATTACCAACCAATGCATGCAAACACTGCAAGGCGATTGCATGTACCTTTTAATTGTTAGCAAAGCATCTTTAGTGGGCTTGGGGAGCCCTCAGTCTGAAGAATGCCTCAAACCTCCACTTCAACAAGTTGGAACTTGCATCCGCAATGCAATGCTGGTGCCCTTTTAACGCCTGCTGAGGCCTTTTTTGAGTTAAGTATATGGAAATGTAAAGTAATGCAATTAAAACAAACACGATGTATACAATATGCTATAAAAGGAAACAAATTCATCAACTTTATTTTTTGTTCTTGGCCTAATTCATATAATCATGTTTTCTTTTGATTACTTCCCAGGTTGACTTTCAAATTGTGCCACATGTACTGGAACTGGCCTGGAACAATTCGTGTGCCGGCCCCTTGCAAATATGCCCATAAGCTGGCCTTCCTGTCTGGCGAGTTCCTTCACCAGGAGCCTTCCATTCTGCTGTGCGACAAGCTCTTCTTTCTTTGAGCCCGGGTGTTGACAACTGTAGACATTTTAGAGTCATTGTCCTCACACAACCATGTACATCTTCAAACTAAAAAGCCTTAGATTTTATTGTTCTGCTTATGACTTCTACCCAGTATAGCTTGACTTTTTCATTTTAAATAGTTTGTTCTGTTTTATTTTCTGCCACTGAGTTCTCTTTGGACTTGTTTCTGAACACCTAGAGATTAAAGGGCGAATAGGAATGCTGTGTGCTAGTGTATGATGTTGGAGCCTGTGGCACTTGTAATTTTCAGAGAATTTCATTTGGAACACAGTGGAAACTTATGGTGTTGGGTTGGTCCCTTGGAAGTCAACATCTAAATGGGGTTTGTACAGCTTCCTCTTTCGTAGGTCAAGTTGTCCTTTGTAGCTTTCCTTCAGGTGCCCATACACCTTACAACCATCGCAAGACTTTTGTCTTGCGATGGTCGTAAGCTAATTAAAAGCTCGTACGATCTGCCCATCCTGGACAGGCAGATCGTACTTGCGATCATCGAAAGCCCGCCCCGCTGATGGGCGGGCTTCCGATGACCGCAATGCTGAACGGGCAGTGTGCGCACACCGGCCCGTTCCGCAGTTGTCGAATGAGCAGGCTAAAAACACCCGAGAATGGTACGATTCTCGGCGGGTTTTCTAGCATGCTGGTTCGACAAAAGACGTGCGACCGTACAGTAAAAACGGTCACGCCTTCCATACACCTTGCGATTATCGTACGATCGCGGGATTTCCCGCGATTATCGTACGATAATCGCAAGGTGTATGGCCACCTTTACAGTAACTACCCACCTTCATAAAGATTTTACTTCTTTTTTTTTTTTTATTGACTGAGTGTCCAACTCAAGCTGCTATTTCATACTATGGGATTTAGGGATTCCTCATAAAAAGAAAATAAAACTAAACTCTTTCCAATTATGTAGAAGGCCTTTTCGATGATTCAGCAGAAGGAATGGCTGTTAGATGTGCTTCTTTGGATACTTGCTGCATTGAAAAGTTTGTTTACATCCACTCCCCTAATTTTTCCACCTTGGCCCAGCTGATTACACCTAAAAGATCAGACTTTACAGGTGTACAATCCCCAGCCCGTCCATGAAAGTTAATAACTGAGCGGAAGTGGAAAAAAAGTTGTTTTTCTTATATTAAGGATCTGTCCTTTTGTATTTGAAGTGCAAGGTTAACCTGACCTGGCCTAAAATGTTTTACACAACAACAATGCTGAAATGCAAGTGCAAAGTACATTGTGATGTCTGCAAGTACCTGTGTTAGGCTGGGCACACACCTTACAACCATCGCAAGACTTTTGTCTTGCGATGGTTGTAAGGTACTTAAAAAACGTACGATCTGCCTATCTTGCATAGGCAGATCGTCTTACTTGTGATGATCGCAAGCCATGCCCCCTGAGGGGCGCGCTTCCGATGACCGCAATGCCGAACGGGCAGTGTGCGCTTGCGCACACCGGCCCGTGCGGCTTTTATCGTACGGACATGCCACAAACCCGCCGAACATCGTACGATGCTCGGCGGGTTTTCGAACATGTCCGTAAGTTAACAGTCGTGCCACCTTACAGTAGTAGAGGCCGCACGGCTTCCACACACCTTACGATAATCGTACGATCGCGGGATTTCCCGCGATTATCGTAAGGTGTGTGGGGACCTTTAGTCTTGAAAGCAATCATGGAGACCCATTGGCTCTTAGGCCCAAGCACCTTACTGGCTTATTTCTGTTAACAAGATGCTACCTATCATAGTGATGGGCCAGTATTTACGTGGGGAGACGGGGCTTACCTGCAAGCTCCAATACTACCCAGATATAGCTGACTTTTACCTGTCATTATTGGCTCATGTTTGGCTGCAATAGAAGACTGCTGCACCCCTGGGAACAATTTATTACATAGGTGTTTACATGTTCAGCTTAGATAGAGGAATCTGTTGTATTTTTGTTGTTCAGCCTGCAAGTTGCATAAAAACAAACAGAACCGTGTATACCCGACTTTACTCAAGAAGCTTTAGAATTGAAAAACACCAACACAGCATCTCTAGTCCATCTTGTGGCCTCATCAGTTGTTACAAAATGACAGGTCCTCTTTAAAACTTAGTCCATTTAGTAGTAATTTCCTAATTGCATCTTAGACAAGAAAGATAATTTTGTGTTCAAAGCACTGTAATGGGACAGAGATCACTTTGTGGAATTTTATGATTATCTAGGTTATGTTTTGAAAGTATTTTCTGTGATTGAAAATATCTGAAAATTTTGAAATTATGGAGTCAGTGTTGTTAAAAAATTTTCAATATATAGAGTTGTTTGGTTATTTTTTACAGATAAGACCCCGTTCACATTGCGCGATTTATCACGCGGTAATTCCCACGATATCGTGGCAAATTACCGCGCGATATCGCGCTCCAATGCAATCCAATGGGGCAAAGGGTCCTGCTGTCGTGTGTCGCTACAGCAGGACACTTTTTGGAGCGGATTTAGCCACGATTCAAGCTTGCTCAATGCAAGCTTGAACGCACCATCGCGCGGCAAATCTCGCGATGTCGCGCAATATGCAAATCGTGCGACAAACGTGCGATTTGCATATCGCGCAGTGGGAACGGGGCCTTATACACAATACAACCTTAAGGCTAGATTCACACCTGGGCGATCCGTGACTGCGCGGCAATCTTGTGCGGATGGCTGTGCGGTCACGGAATCGCCGATCGCGCTGACAGTGCCATTATTTTGTAATGGCAGCCCAGTCGTGCCGCGATAACGTTCCTGCAATTGAACACAATTGCGGCTAAAAAAAATGCTGCAAGTCCTGTGTCGCCAAAAAAAAGGTACATATACAATTTTTTTTGCGATTGCTGCACAGATGTAACCCCATTGAAATCAATTAATCAAAAAAACAAAAAAGGGCGCAAAAAACACTGGCTGGCTAAAGAAGGGATAATGGAAACTAAACGTGGTGGCACTTACACGTGAATCCCAGGATCTGGAGATGGGCGGCCGATGTGGAGGAACGGAGCACTCGTGGTGTGGGTCCGACTGGCTGGTGTGCTAATCAGAAAGGTACATCCACGGGAGGGTGTGAGCAAGAAGAGGGGACTTCGTCCGAAGTGCCGTTGGGGGTATGTGCGGTGTGGAGGAGGAGCAGGGAGATCCCTGTGGTATCGGCAATAGACAGGGCTGTAGCTGTGGGTTTCAGCGAACGGTCACTGTCAGGTCTTCTAGGGACAGTGTATGGGAGTCTGTATGCGGGAGCAGCTGACAGATGCCGAAAGGTCGGATCAGTGGTGAGATGGAGAGCGATCAAAGAGGACAAAAGCGACGCGTTTCGAGGTACTACCTCTTTTGGTTTTTTGATATCTGCATTCACAGGTTCTCCTCCTGTGTCCCAGGGCTGCATACATGTCTTCAAGCTAACTGTTTTCCCATCCGAGAGCGCTGTTTATGTTTTTTCTGCCATTGAAATCAATGTGGCCAATGTGTGTGCACGTTCACGCGGTCCTGGGATCGCCCATATCTGAATCTAGGGGGTACCCCCCAAGAATGACCAGTTTTCAGATGACTTCTGAAAACTGCAACAACATGTATCTCTGTGAAGCTTTCCCTCAAACTGTTTGTGTCTCCACTCACTCCCAGCAGACAATAATAGAACTGACACTCGACCACAAAAGGATTCCAGAGTTATTTTATTTTACTTGTATTGTGAAAAGCATGATCACACCATGTGAGAGTGATCAAAGGGGGCCGGTGGTATATTTGGGCATGATGGATTTCTGTAGAGTTTTTTTTATTTTGTCGGATACCCTCTTCCCAAGTGTCCTCCACTAGGTCAGGGATGTCTCGTTGCCATTTTACAAAGGGACGAGAGTGCCCGGAGGTTTGACACTGTCTGTGCATTTTTTGTATATACTTAAGTCTGTCAACATTTAACGCAAACAGCAATCTAACTATTATCGTTCTGAGACCCCTGGGGTGAATTTATTTTAGGATTGTAGTGTGGGTTTACAGTAGCATTACTGGTGACTTAGTATCATTCTTTAAATGTAGGTGCCGTTGTTCTTACACCCCACTTCACCCAAAATTTGGTTTTGATAGCTTTGGGGTTGATCACCTAAAAAAATGCTTTTTTTCATAGTAACATTGTTAGTATGAAGTCTAAGTTCTACGCTAACATGAGTATCTATGTCATCTTGAAATAGCTCCACCATGCTCCCTGGGAGACCCTAAATCTACTAACAATATACCACAATGTAACTTGAGCAAATATCATCTGTCCCAGACTTCAGGGCAACAAAGCGGTTGGATCATGTCATTAGAACTGGGTGTTTTCAAAAAAAATGTATACCTTCCATCATGTTCTTGGACAATGTGCATCTGCTTGGACTCCTTTCATGATGGTGATTAGGATAACTGAGTTACCTGTGTGAATATAAATATAGATGGTTATGTTCCTGACACAGAGCTGAAGAAGCTAAATGAATGAGCAGCGTAACATCTCCAACATTACGGAGCAATTCTAGTTGAATGTGACTATTATTAGGTATATAACATGGCCTGGAAATATTAGACCTTTCATAGACATTTATGCAAATGTTAAAGAGTTTCTGTTTAGATCTAATCTTTGCCTCCCACAAGCAATGTGGTTCGAAATGAAAACATTCCCACGTCTTAAATAATGTAGTGGGGCATGTTTTTTGTGACTAAAATAAAACACAGCAAGGAAGTGTTACTTGCAGAAAAGGCATTGAATATGCACTTATCTTGCTGCCTGCACTGCCAATCTCTGAAGTAGTGATGAAGAAACTATCAGCTGAAGAGCTGCAAAATCCAGCCCTCCCAAGAGTTTTTTGATCTCCCACTGCGCACAGATTCCTCTTATCAGTCCCTACAAACAGAAATGTCAGATTCTGCAAGATCTTCATCTGCCAGTGTTTACCTTCACTACTGCAGATATTTTGTGGTGCATACAGCAGGAAAGTTGAGTCTTCAGTGCCTTCTCTGCAAGTCA